CGCTCAACTTTGCCCATTCAAATTCAGCGTTCTCGCTCTCTCGGTTACTACCTACGGCCTCATGAAAGTTTTAGCGGGTAAACTGTTAACTCGGGAATCACGGAAAAATATTCTTCCTTCAGGGTTTCGAATTCAGCTTTCATACGCTGGTGCGTGAAATTTTTAGCTGTTGTCCAATGTTTGTACTATTTTTGCATAGACTAAAGTACAAAGCAGTGAAAATAATTAATAGGCAATCGTTCGATGAGCTGAATTGCACAAAACGCATGATCGCACCGGCTAGTCTGGTGCACGTTGCCATTTATTTTTTGATTTGCTACTGGAAGCTCCCTGAGGACGAAACGTTTCTTTTTTGGTGATAAACTGAATACCTTAAGAAAAGCCTTTGATGCATCCACAAAATGACTGCACCGTAGTGATCACTAAAATTTTAATGTTTTTTTAGAAAATACTTTAAATGTGTAACTAAGGGAGTAGCATTTAAGGTAATGGAAGGTGAAATTGAGGCATTCCGTGTCGGCATGCGTCGCTACGCTAAAACAACTAAAGGGATTGAGAACTATTCGCCTCGTATCGTCTGCATTATTGCGTGCAAAAGACATAACAAGCGTTTTGCACTTGACAATGGTAAGGCATTTCTTGGAGCTCCGATCATCACAGTGTTTTCCATCGCGAAATTCAAACGCATTTCAGGTCGTATGCTCGAAAACTGCTTGCCGCTGACAGTAATAGATAAGGATATAACGCGTCCGGACACCACCGAATTTTTCATGCAATCGCACAAAATCATAAAGGTTGTGCTTCAAAGAATGCAGAGTGAAGTTTTCGATGCATCATAATTTTAAGCTTGCAATTACGACTGATCCAAAAATTCTCAAAAGCAAGCCAACTCTTCTTCTCCACTGCATGCCTACGTTAGTGATAGTTGTTTCACTCCCTTCGTTTTACAGTTCTTGATTTCAGGGGACGGGGAAGCTGCCGGCTTATTCGATGCCGCTGAATGAAGCAAATTTGACGATGGACGAAGCGCAGTCGTTGATGATGGCCCTCTGTTTCACTCACCAAATTGTCACTCAGTCAATTTCCATCCCAGAACCAATCTATCAGGCCGACGAATGGGCCAAAAGAGGGCGCAATAATTTCAAAGCCATGGTGTACGTTTTTCTTTTGATCTGAGCAGGCTGCGTATCGGATGTCTTTTTTAGCTTTCAGTCACCTCTGACTTAGGTGTTTAAGATGTGCAAATTTTTTGACTATTGAAATTTCAGTCTGACTTCAGTGTGTCTGATAATAGCAAGGAGATGCCGCCATCAGCATGATTTTAAGCAGTCTTAAAAATAAGGAACCATAAACCGTCTTTCAAGCGAACGATTGCTCTTGGCACGCCCAACACACAGGCTACTTCGAGCTGCGCCTCTTTCTCACAGAGCATAAATACGAGCGAGTTTTTTGTGCGTTTTGTACTGCAGTAGTTGAAAAAAGCGCATATTGTCGAAAGCCTGTGTGTGTGTTCCAAGTGCATTTATCCGAGAGTTACAATTCAGTAACTAGAGAAGCTAGAAAGCTGAAATTTTAAGGTGGGACTCCCTGTCGACGTACGACCTTGCTAATTCAAATTTAGCATTGACATGCACTCAGGTTTCACGTACAGTAATGCGAAAGTTTTGGTTCCTAAATTAATAAATTGGGAAGCAGAAAAGCTCGAAAACTGAAATTTTAGGATGATGTTCTTTTCCTGCAAATGAGCCCGAAAAGTTAAATTCAGCTCTCGTGTGCGCTTAGATTTAGCTTATGGAGATGTGGAAGACGTTTTGACGCGAAAACTCACTTAAAAATCAGAAAAGCTAAGAAATTGAAATTTCGTGATAATGTTCCCCGCTCGCGCATAAATTAGTTCCCTCGCGCTCCTAGGGTATATGTGCAGGATCGTGAAACTTTTGATGGCAAAATAACTTCGAAATCACGGAGATTTTTGTACGTAGTAATGCAGTGATTTCTGTAGTAATGCAGTGAACACTTTTGGCGGCAAGGTTCTCCTAGGCAGAGTTGCACAAACGTCCGTCTGACAGGATTGCTCAAAGCGCATCAGCACCCTTGATGCGTCCTGCTGTTTATTTACTTTTGATTGAGAATATTTATTGAACTGTTTAGGCGTAGAATTGGTGGCGTGGATCAGCTACCGAAAAACAGTAATGGA